TGGACTAACTTTTCTTGCCATCCCTTGCAATTGTGAGGACGTGGCAAGGTGTATAATGCGAGGCTTGTTTTGCTAATTTTGATGTGTGGGGAAAACACTAATCTCATGTGCTTTTTCGTGACAACACACGATATTTTCTGCAAAATGTATCAGCTGACATCAAATAGCCACTCACGATTTGTATAATCGCATATGCTATGCTTCGCTTCAATTAAATCTCTCAATTTAGGGACTAAGATTTTTTACCTTACATAACATTTTTAAGTTTTGAAAATTTATTTTCTTACTAAATTAGGTGGAGTATTCCTTCCTCGAGCAAAGTCGGTTAGCAAAATGAAAGCAAATTTATATTAAAGTTTGCAGTTCCTATCATAATGACAACTCATTTTGATTTCAATTGTCACGAAATTAGTCTGATATCATATTGTGCATTCATTATGCAGTCAAGACTTATTAAATGAAAGCAACTTAACTTGAAGTTCTGCTGTTAACGTCTTGTTTAAAATTTAATTTAAGCTCATCTGTCGTTGAACTAGCGCCTATTGTTTATTTGTTTTGTTTAACACATTTTAGATCATTCGTTATTTGCCCGGGATGAGTCTTTCAGCATGAGAAGCATAGATGCTTATGATTTACGCCAGGCCCGTATTCAGTTAAACACTATGAATGCAAAATCAGAAATCAGATTGATTTCATTGAAAGCACGATTAGTTGTCCGTTTGATTCAACAGTGTAAAAGTTTGCTCTCATTTTTGCTGTGTAAACCGCTAAGTCAACCAAAATGAGATCAACTCTATAGTCTCTATTATGATGTAACTTATTTTGAATACTCCAGTTGATCCTATAGGATCAACTGGAGTATTCAAAATAAGTTACATCATAATAGCAAATTTTGATTTCAATTTGATTTCCAGCTTTGCTCGGGTCTCGCCTCTTCGCCTTTGAACATTGTATAAAAGCATTATTATAGAACTAGATATCTTCCAAAAGTTCTCTAAAATTTCTCCTGAAAGCTGAAAATCCACTAATTATCTATCTAAAGGCCTTTGATCTAAGGGGCCTTCCTTAGCTCAGTGGGTAAAGGCACAGCTATAGAGCAAGACCATGCTGGAGGTGGCCGGGTTCGATTTGCCGGTCTAGGAGTTTTTTGGATTAAACATTTTCTCGACTCGGTATACCGTATGACTGTACTATGATTGTAATAAAGCCAATGAAGAAGAAACTTTGAAACCTCCCTAAAAATGTTCAAGTTCTAAAAAGATTTTTCCAACTTCTCCTAAAATATTTTTGAATATAACCTAGAAACCCTTAAAATTTCGTTTAAGCAGTTCTCCTGATTAAAGAAGCTAAATGTGATCCTGCAAAAATCCTTGGAATATTTAAGAGATACTTTAAATATCAATTCTCGATGATATAATGCGCTTCGAGTAGGAACGCAGTAGGCTCTGTACGCGAACGATTGGTTTTGTTTTCGCTGTCGCTGATTACGTCTGTTTTCGCATATTTTTGAATTGCACTAAGCCAAAATAATATCCGTTTTCGCGTGGGGATAAGTGTAATTTAAGATCTATCACGTTTTAAGAAGTCTTTTTTTCGTTTCTTGTTGCTGGCGTTCTGCTGCAAAAAGTTCTGTGCAATTGAAAAACTTCTCGTGTGGTTCAAAATGTTGTGTTCGTTTGAGAAAAAAAAAACTTGGTCTAAATTACCGCGAGTGAACAAATCGGTTTAATTTATTATCTTATTTACTATCAAGACTTTCAGTCGTGTGCTGGTTCGGTTCTTTGAACAGACCGGTGCTCTTTCGGCCTATATCCATATACTACTAAATACGTGCCAGATTTCGAAACTTCACGTTCCGAAATCTGGCTGTGTGTTTGCGGTACCATTATCCATATGATAACAGTACTGTTTACATGCGGGGCATATTGTATGTGAAATTGACCTCGGAATGGACGTGAATAACCAGGCATTCTAAAATGGGTTGCTGAAGCTGCAGTAGAGCTATCACCTTATAACTCCCGGGCTAAACATGCTTTCCATTATCACAGCAAGGATTGTTATAGAGATTTTCATGTCCGGTTGTATTGGTGCGATATGTGAGAGCGTGTTAGTGAACATCCGAGGAAAATACACAACAAATAGCTGTCAAGTTCTTTTTGACAAATCTCGTTTCATACATGGAAAATGATAAATACCCTTTTTTTCTTTATTATAAAGATTTTTAGCCGAAGGCTAGTTTATTTCTACGATAATAAACAACTTTACACGGCGATGCACCCGCTAGTTTGTGTGCGTTAAGCTTCACTTATGGTGTAAACGTGACTGCCTCTCACTCTACACGGTAACAGCAAAATACCCAATAATGACTACAAAGTAAGCATTTTCGAGGGAGACTGGGACTACTCATTAAATGAGTAAAAATATTACCCATTTATGAGTATTTGTTACTAAAAAATGAATACTTACTACTTGTTTTTGTAGTTGTAATTACTCATAAATGGGTAAAATTTTACTCATTTAATGGGTAGTCCCAGTTTCCCTCGAAAATGCTTACTTTGTAGTCATTATTGGGTATTTTGCGGTTACCGTGTAAAGGACCTGGGTTAGATCCCAGTCGGCGCCGTCAGTATTTTCTGAGGCATAAAGAGATAGTTGACACCGTCTTCAACCAGAGGTTGTACAGACTGAATACTTAACACTAGACAATGGACAACACACAACACCCAGTAGACCAGTAGGGAAATTTTCGGGTTGCGAAAAGTTCCACCGGCTGGAGCGGGAATCGAACCCTCACTTCGTGGCACTCACAATACGCCTGAACGACGGGTGACGCCGCTAACCGCACGACCACGAAGTTCTAAAATCTCTGATCACGGAAGTAAAGCCGTTGATCCCTGGTCCATGAGCTGATGTGTCGATAGGTAGGGTCCAGATGTGGGAACTGCCTCCCCGCATAAACGCGAACCATAACTTAACCTTACCGAAAATGGTTAAAAATTGTTTATAATCCCTGCTTTAACTGAAATGGTTATGGAACATTACATGAACGTTTGTGTGATAAAGTTTTAACCTTATGTATTATGGTTCTTTGGAAGTGAACCTTACAAATAATGGGTTGTTAAGAACCATTACCGTTCAAAAAAGTTGTTTGTTTTTGGAGAGAGGACTATATTAGAACCATTTTACTTATGGTTTGAGAACTTTAATGGTAATGGTTATGTTAGTCGGTAAGACCCATTAATGGTTTTGTATTATCGGTCAACTTTACGGGGAATATATCGCAAATTGGTAATCAGTTATTTACAGGCAACCAATTCGCGATATTTTCCACATAAAGTTAACGGATGTTGCAAAACCATCCATGAACCTTACCGACTACCATAACCATTACCATTAAAGTTCTCAAGTCATCAATAAAATGGTTCCAATATAATTCCTTTCCCAAAAATGTATGGAGAAAACAAGAATTTGGAATGGTAATGGTTCTTAACAACCTATTATTTGTAAGGTTCATTTCCAAAAAATCATAAGGTTAAAACTCTATCACACAAAAGTTCATGTAAAGTTCCATAACCATTTCAGTTAAAGTTTAGCAGGGATTATAAACAAATCTTTAACCATTTTTGGTAAGGTCAAGTATTGGTTCGCATTTATGCGGGCTCCCTGGCGTCGGTAGCATTGGCACTCAGTATAGAAAACAAATCAGGGGGAAAAATAATACCACTGCCGGCCAGTGGGGGTTAGATTCAACACACACACACACACAATTCCACGATGATTTAATGTCATGTTACATCCCTAAACCTAAGATCACTGGCCGCTAAGAGTACTATGCAACACAAACATAATTCCTAGAAGCGGCCTGGTGTTCATCTCAACTCATGAGTGAAACCTACACGATTGATTTTATTGATAATAATCGTATTGTCAATACATTCTATATTGACGTCAATACATCACTATTGACAATATTTCTGTATTCACATCATCAATATTATTGTCAATCATTCCCTTTTGAATCAATATATTGATAGGTGTGGGGTTGGTTATAGGATAAAAATTGGAATTCAAGCCAGAGGCATGGTAATACGTGTCTACAAAACATGGTGGACATTGAATTTGTATACTCATATGGACGATTGATTAAGAGATTTTTCGGTGACTAACAGTTGCTTGTGGGATTTTCCCATATTAGTAAAGAGCTACAGAAGCTTCGTAGACGCGAATAAACATAACGGAAGCAACACCGGCAGCACACTTAAGATGTTGTAAGTAGATTATGACTGAAATAAGATACATAAAAGTAAACAAATTTGTTCTATTACAAATGTAAGAGCAGTTGGCTACAGAAAACACAAATGTTAAGGCAATACAGTCTATTGACCACTATACACATTAGTGACTTCAATGACCATTTTTCTCAAAAATAGTGACTTCAGTGGTTTTTTATGAGTTTCAGAATCTTGGAGGTTTTTTTCTGCAATAATAAATTTGTTTGTATGTCCCCGATCTCGAAATGCTTTTCCTGAACTGATTTTATTTTGTAAATTCAAGGATTAAAAACAACGATTCAAAATCTAAGATCAAACCAATATTTGGGTTTCAAGACCAAAGCAACCCAATGACATTCGATCGAATGGCCTTCGAAAACTTGTTATGCTACTTTTCGACACACTTTAAAATAACATAACGGCCTAATTATCCTAACTAAACTATCAGTGCCTAACATTATGCAACTTAAGCCAGATTTCGTAGTTCAGAGAAATTGAAATAAAAAAGTAATTATGAGATATAGAACATTTGGATTGATGCTGGAACATTTTTAAGAAATTAAAACTAAAAAAAAAAAAGTTGCTGAGCTAAAAGAAGGCAGGGAAGCCCTCCTGCCCTTCTCTGGCTACACCACTATCACCACGGAGATTATTATAGTAACTTCAACATTTCTAATGATATAGAGTCCAGCTATCTTACTTATATGTTGAATTGAAGTTAGTGCTAACCTGAGCTGCCATGATTTTCTGTCTCGATAGAATCAGTTCACACTTTGGACACCTGCAGTTCCTGTAGGTGCAGTGTTTCTTATGACCTCTTAATCCTGATATCACACCGTGATTTCGACATCGCGCACATTTTGGTATCCTCGAGGTTTGAGCACTGCAAAATCCACCAGATTTGGCAACGGAACTGGAACTCACAACACTAGATTTTGCTGTTGCACTGAGATTTCCTTCTCCGACACCTCCGCCACTGTCAGCGCGCTTCCGACCACCGTCGTTACACTTGAGTAAACTGCTAACGGACAACATTCTGGCACCGGACCACACGTTTGACTTCCGAAACCGTTCGACGGTAAATTGCTACTGAATGGCGAACAAAACATCCGAGCTCGGTATCTCGGTTTGGCAGAGCGCTCGGAAAATCCATCTTCGTAGCATCCCTAAAATAAATATCCATTTTCCTTGGTTTGTACCAATATTGACATCTGTATTTTGTTGCACATGTTTCATCTCGCTGGTCGGTCGGTCGGACGGAATACACAGCATAATGGAAAATGTATTTGGAGGCGAGGAGTTTCATTATGTGTAGAGTAAAACAAAGACAAAAAATGTACTGAAACAAGAATGGATACAGCGGTTGTAGTCAACCATATGAATTAGGTTCAATCTGTTTGAAAAAATTCTAAAAACGTTATTACAAAACTTTTCCATATGTCATTGCCAACATTGTAGTTCTTGTTGACATTTGTTTTTTTTTTCATTTAGTTCAATCCCAAATACACGTAGTGTTTCTCCCGATTCTATGATCTACTTTGTATACATACAGATTTTTTCCTTAATTTGTTTTCCGTCGATATTGGTTTCCGTGCTGAGCACCAATGCTATCGACGCCAGGAAGGCAGTTCGGACACCTGGACCCTACCTATCGACCCATCAACTCATGGACCGGGGACCAACCGCTTTACTTCCCTTCCAAAGGAAGGCGTGATCAGAGATTTTATGCCTCAGAACATCCCGGCGGCGCCAACTGGGATTGAACCCAGACCTGCTGGTGTGAGAGGTAATCACGCTTACTACTACACCACCGGCGCCGCTAGATTCTGTTATTAAAATAGGCATGACATTTTTTGTCGATAAATATGTTATATGAGCTAAAGTGTGAACAAGGCATAAAATTCAATCGCCATTTGTTGACCACACTGCTCCTATTCGACAGATCCTCAGGGAGTCGAACCCACCGCCTTCAGCATGATATGCTCCATCTCTCCTGACTTTAGTCTAAGAAAGGCCAATAAAACGTCATAATGATGCCGATTTTTTAATTTTTTAACGTACTTACTTTACTTTTTACTTACTTTTGCTGGTCTAACTTCCCTCATAATTTCACCTGCTGTAGAATGTTCCGCCAACTAGCTCGGCTCTTTGCTGCTTGTTATCAGTTTCTCGAGCGTCCCAAACTTCCTAGATATTACTCTATTTGGTCTAACCACCTATCGCGATGTGTTCTTCTGCGTCATGTACGGCTGGATTTGAGGCAAACACCATTTTTACCCATTGTACCCTTCAAGATACTGGGCTCGCCATAGTTTTACGCCAGCTGGTGGTTCATTCATCTCCTCCATACGCCGTTCTCATATAGCCCGCCAAAGATGATCTTAAACCTTTGTCTGTATCTTGGCTATTTTCGCAATTTTATTTTTCCTTGATTTGTTTTCCTTCGATCTTGTTTTCCGTACTGAGTACCAATGCTACCGACGTCAGGGAGGTAGCTCCCACTTCCGGACCCTACATATCAACCCATCAACTCATGGACCGGGAACCAACGGCTTTACTTCCGAAGGAAGGCGTGATCAGATATTTTATTCCTCATAAATTCCCGGCGGGGCCGACTGGGATTGAACCCAGGCCTTTTTTCTCTGACATTTTTGCATGTTAAAGTTTTCTTGATATGTTTACTTTAGATGTACAGATAAAGGGTTAAGCACACGTCGATCGAAAAACCCCAGTGTGTGTAGGTCCTTCTCGAGAATAGTCCAAGTCTCGAGCCCACCTGAAGAGAACCACCGGTCTTATCAGCATCTTGTACCAGGTACACTTAGTACGGGGTGAAGTTAACCAGACCTCAAGGTCTTGTGGATTTCGTAGTAAGCACTACTTCCGGCAGTAATGCTCTCCGAATTTCTCTGCTGCAGTTGTTATCCGACGCCATTAGTGTTCTGATGTAAACAAATTCATCCACCATCTCAAACTCATCTCCGTCGCTTATCACACTTCTGTCTATGTCAACCCTTCACGCTCGGTTCCTCCAGCCAACAAATACTTAGTCTTCGAAGTACTTACTTTTATTTCAACATTTATGCTTCACGTTTTACCTTGGTGTACTGCTCAATCCCCGCATGAAACGTTCTTCTGAAACTATTCACGTCGTCAGCGAAGCAAATAAACTGGCAGGATTTATTGAAAAACATGCCCCGTATGTTAAATCCAACACGTTTCATAACAACCTCTAGCGCAATGGTGAACAGGAGGCAGGAAAGACCAGACCTTGTCAAAGTGCTTTACGTGTTTCAAACTATTCCGATAACGTACCCGATATTTTCTCGCAGCACTGTACACTGTATCCTGTATCTTGTGTAACCTTGATAAGTCTAGTTAGTTTCCCGAAAAACCGTCCATAATATTCCATACCTCTTCAGGTCTATACCCAAGTAACAATTTCGGTTTTATAAGGGTTCTGTAGACCATGTTTTAGACTTGTATCATGCTTTAAAACCTCCATAAAACTTACAATGTTACTTGGGTAGTATCGTAAGCGGCCTTGAAATCGATTAATAGGTCGTGCGTAAGGATTTGGTATTCGTGACACTTTTAGAGGATTTGCCTCAACGTGAAGATTTGGTCTGTTGTCGATCCCCTGTCCACAAAACATTCCTAATAACTCCCCACAAGTCTGATTGCTATCTCGATTCCCCGTATTTTTGCTCAAAAGTACCAACAAGTCAATTGCAATAGAAGAGTTTTCACTGATGGATCACGCATTGATGGATCCACTGGCTTCGGCGTCTTCAATGAATACTCAACCGCCTTTCGGAAACTTCCGTAAATGTTGCTGAGCTAGTAGCAATCAACTTCGCATTGGGGTTGATTTCCGACATGTCCATAGACCACTACTTTATCTTCTCGGATAGTCTCAGTTCGATTGAGGATATTCGGTCGATGAAACAAGGTAGGCACTCGTCTTATTTCCTTTCAAAGGTAAGGGAGCAGATGAGTTTGCTGGTCGAAAGATCATATATGATTACGTTTGTATGGGTCCCCTCACATTGTTCAATCCCAGGCAATGAGAAGGCAGACTCTCTCGCAAAGGTGGGCGCACAACAAGGCGAGATTTATGGCAGAAGAATTTCACATGATGAATTTTTCCCATTAATACGTCAGAGTTCTCTTTTGAGTTGGTAAGCCGATTGGACAAGTAATTCTCTTGGGCGGTGGTTACAATCCATTATTCCAAATGCTTCTTCGAGAGCGTGGTTCAAAGGTCTGGACGTAAGTCGGGGATTCATTCGCGTGATGTCAAGACTTATGTCCAACCACTACTCGCTAGACGCACATCTCTACAGAATAAACCTCGTTGACAGATATATATTTAGGTGCAGAACTGGTTATGATGACATCGATCACGCAGTTTGGTATTGCCTGGGTAATGACGCCTCCAGAGCACGACTGTTGGATACCCTTGTGGCCCAAGGTAGACAACCCTTCCGTGAAATAAGAGATGTATTGGGAACCAGTGATCTTCCCTACATGCAGGCGGTCTACGAATTCCTTTGTTTGTCTGATGTTAGAGTTTGATGTGACCATCCCCTCCTTTCCAAACAATTTCCAGCCATTGTGTCCCAGTCTTATTATCCTCCTGTTTCTGTGCTACTTGCCCCTGCCCAGCCAGGATTTGGTCAACCGTCCGAGAGAAGTATCTGAAGGAGGCTTCAGAAACCAGTTTCCTACCTAGCTCCTTCCAATCTAAATTGTTACCCATTAACCTCGAGCCCGCCACGAGTAATTGGTACCCAAAGAAAAAAATATTATCGAAATAAAAGTATTTGAGGTAAATATAAACGTGAACTCAGTTTGTTCTGGCCACAAAAATAATCTAGGTTGATTCCAAGCGTATTTTATCTTGAAAGTCATTTCTGATTATTTTAGAAATATTCAGGTTGACAATCAACGCGAATATTTTTGTTTGGTTTGACAGCTTTGTAAACAAAAATAAATGTGCTTATTTAATCATGATTTTCAAGTTTAAAAGTAAAAAAAAAATATGTTTAGCATGATTTTCTATTAATTATTATAAATTATTTTTTAATGCGCGATAAAACAAATAAAAGTGCGGGATTAGGTTAAATCACCAATCATGCGCTTTTAACCGCATTACCTCCATCATATGATCCAGATGCAATCACATCCGTATTCAGGAACCAGTCCTTCACCGTCCTATCTTTCGTACACGAATATCTGAACTGATGGTAATTCTTCCGGAAAAAAACCCACCCGGTAACAACGTGTGAATGTCCATTATTCACCAGCTCCAGTGTCGCTCCGTCCAGCTCTTGATCTCATCGGCCATTACCAAAAACTTCAGATCCTATGAAATGGCCAACGAAAGAACTACCGTCTTCTATGCCAATGTCACCGCCAACTGTTCCCGCTTGGTCAGGTCCCACCAGACAATGATTCCATTCTTACTAGTCGATCATCGTCAAGGCCCACGCACATTAGATCCGGATCGGACGCGTTGCGGAAAAGTGACAGCTAAATCTATTGTCTATGAGTATAAACATTTATATTTTTTATTTAAATGGACAACATTCGTATCCGTGTATGTAAGAATAAATAACGCATGATAGACCCCTGCCCCCTCGCTATGTGCTACGTAATTTATGCTCGAAAACTAAGTTTAGGGCCGGCGTCAAGTGCAACATTGTTTATATCACGCAACATAATTTGCCCATCGTCCTGAACAATTTTGCCGAAGACAGAAACTTTCTAGATGGCCAGGATCTCAAGATTTAGCAAAACCAGAAAATTCAGATGCACACTGCCCTGCGTTGTGCATACCAGAGTCAATGTTAAAATAAGAGTCCCGCCAAGACTCTGGCTTCAGAAGTACCAATCGAACTATCAAGCGGGGTACCAAACAAGCAAAGTAAATAAACATCATTGTTCCCACAGCCAGTGAAGTACACGTTTTGCATTCATTACTGACAATATTTTAGTAATTTTAGAAGAAAACATTCCTTCGATTTATTTAGTGCATTGTGGTATTTATAAGTTAT